AATATTGACCGGCAATAGAGCATTTCGATTGGTTGATTTTAATTATTGGCCCTCTGACTGCCTGAGTCTTGTAATAATATACTGGTAATATGAACTTTAAAATGATTAAATAAGGATTTTAAAATGACTGATTTCCTAATAATTTACATCTTGAATATTTGCAATTTTGTTAAATGATAGAGTTGTCTCTTTAAATACTGACCTAGTATAAATCATCATAAAAGTGAGAAAAAATTTCAAATTAAATTTACATTTTGAATAAAACACTGTAATAACTTATTTTGATTTATTGAAGAATTTATTAAATAAAGGATTATTTCATGGCAGTTTTTTTTATGAAATCATCAGTGTTATCGCTAATGACTTAAGGGTGAGTTGAATCTTGCAATTGATACTAAACTTGCTTGATAACAAGTGGTGCATGATCAATTCTAGAAGATTTTTAGTTTTCTTTGCGGAGTAAGAATCAAACTTTAAAACTATGATTTAACTAACCATGGGGTACATGTCATTAATTAAAGGTAGTAATCTCCCAAGCAGGAAGAATGTAGCCTTGGCAACTTAGCGATGATCCCTACAGGAACTGGCAGACACAGCACTGCAAAGTCAGTCCATATGGAATGAATGCTTATGTGTGGTAGTGAAAGTGAAGCAAACACTCAGTTGGCATGTATCATTACCCATAAAGATCTTAACAAGGTTCTTAATCAGTAAATTGCTAAATCTGTAATCAGTAAATCAATTTGAACAATTTTGACATGTTTGACTTTAGAAAGGGAACATAGCAGGAGTACACTGCGCATAAAAATGTTAGTGAAAAGGAAATCATTTAATCCAATTGTATAGCATAAAAATGACTATCTTTTGTTTGGCTCTTTGTGGTCTCTTCTGTTTCTGAATGCAGCTGCTTTTTGTCATGAATTAAAAGTTCACTGATTCCAACTGCAATCTCTTAGCACTGACATGTCATGTGTTATTCATAGAACCTGTCAGAAAATTTCCTACGATCAGAGGGTGGTGTAGCTTTTGCCAGCATGTTACTGAAGAATCAATCTTTGATGAAGTTGGTGTTAAGATGTGAGTGAATCATTTATTAGAGACTTTTAAATTCGGAAATTAATTGGAAAGTTTAGACATTAGAAACATTTGTTGAAGATCACAAACTTATACTTAGCGTACAAGCAAGTTCTACCTTCCTCTCATATGTTACCACCCCACAAGAGAGCTTGCTTACAGGCTTAAGTTACTGATGGTTACTAGTGGCTGATGGTAAGTTTGTCCTTCACAGTGCTTATACCATAAATGTCGATACAGTTCTGCGTAAACAGCGAAATATGAAATTAACTTGGCGATACCATGTCAAGGTCAACTTGATTATTGTGATTTTTTGTTATTAATCATCTTTCCTCAAATGTCTTCACATTCTGTCTTTCTCCATTTTGTTCTCTCGCTTTGTGCGCTGTTCTTATTCTTTCTTGCTTTTTTTTGTACACATTAGTTTCCTTAATCTTCCGGCTCATTTTGTTTTGAAACAAAAATCAGGGTTGACTGAGTAAACTTGTTGTAGCTTAGCATTATGATTTTGTCTTTTTCCATCTTTCTCTCCTTCACTCTAGCAAATCACCTGGGTGACAAAGACGCCAGAGCCTTTGCAGATGCCCTGAAAGAAAATCGTACTCTAACGTATCTAGACCTGAGCTATAATGACATTGGAGAGATGGGTGGCATTTACTTGGGAGCTGGACTGGTAGGAAGCTACTAAAATGAAAATAGTCCTCCCTAATTTCTGCACATTTCTTTTCCATTCAACTGAGAGTCATTGCAATGGGGCGAATAGGCCATTTTACAGTTGTGTACTTAGTTGCCAAGCCTTTGATTCAGAGTGAGGCTGAAGGTGACCTTGTTGTGATAGAGACCTGTATCTAGTTAGCATGATAACAAAGTAATTTACATTTGAAAGGCAGCAAGGTTTGTATCATAACAAGGTCAACCCTAGCCTCACTCCCATTCAAAGGCTTGGCAACCAAGCACACAACTATAAAAAGGACTATTCGCCTCAAAAACCTAAGCAGACCGACACCTCTCGTTAGGGACAGCACTTGCTCAACAGTTTGGTTTCTCAACTACGGCCTTATCACGGTTCAAACAATGTTTGCTGCTGCTTCGTCAATATACAACTCTAGTAAAATTTATACCTGAATTCCTTACTTTAAAGTTCTTGTAATAAGTTTTGTAGTTCCTCCAAACACGTTGCAGTCCAACCCAGGCCAGAGCAATTGTCTTTAGAATCATCTTTCTTAAGTGCGTTCAGTTTTTCTTTCACTGTTAATACCTGCCGTCTATAAGAATTAAGTGGCTCGACGATTCCCTTGTGTGTAGCATGATTAAACAGTGAGCTGCTTAAAGCATTGAGTTTGGCTGAACAATTTTTTTTGACCTTCTCGCAATTCTCTTTCACTTCCTTGCATGTTTCCTCGAGTCGTGTTATAATTCCCTCTGCAATCTGTAAATAGTTTTCTGGTTCAATCTCGTCGCGTTTGGTATGTTCCTTCAATTCTTTCAAACTTAATCGACGAGCTACATAAACACATGTCTTTACCAGTGTTTTCAGCTCGTAGCTTTGCCCAACAACGAGCTCAGCTATTACATCTTCATCCTCCTTTGTTTTAATCACAGATACTAAGAAATTTTCGCATTTCTGTGTAATTGAAATTATTTGATACTCGCGAGCGAGTTCGAGCAAGAAATAACAGTTCCCCTTGGTGACAACTTTTTCTTCCAAGGAAGGATACATAATTTGTAGCAGCTCTTTAATTTCACCGGCGTTCTTCTCTGGAAGTGAAATTTCATTGCTTGTCTTCTCCCTGAAGTCAGATGTAAACATCTTATCGAATACGGGCGACCAAAATGCAAGCACGCCTCGATGAACATGAAATCTTTGTTCGTCAACCACAAGAATGACATCACTGAACTTCCAAGGCTCTGAGAAATCAGGTGGACCGGCCGAAATATCGCTACTGTCGAACATTTTACAGCAACGAAGTCCTATTTTCACTTTCGTTTAAAAACAAAACACAAAGCGGAAGTGATTGGGTCGCACGGTTGGATCGCATCAGGTGATATATGGCTGGCTGCGCCCGTGGGCAATATGAAGCGAATCCTGTGTCCTGATTGGTTACTTTAACGGGCAGGATGGGCCCATCTTGTTCGTTCGGGATCGCGGGAATGCCCATTTTGATTTCCCGAAGGGAAAAAATTGCGTGAAGCGGTCTGTCAAAGTTCGTTATTTTTTATTTATGATTTGTCGGCGATGGAATCGCAAAATGCGGCAGAAAACATTTGACAAAGAAAACATAAACGACTCGTGGATTTATTGTGCTGCAATAGTTTGCCTTCTTACCCGGCTTTCGAGATGAACAAGTCATTCTTGATTATCAGTTAGCGAAATCTTTTTGCCATATAATGAATCCTTTATTAGCCCCCCCC